CTGCTCCCCCCCCCCCCCCCCCCCAATTGCTATCAGGTTCCTCTGAAACATCCTTTGATTCCAGGAGATGCTCCTCTTCCTTGGCATGTTCATTCTCTGGGGAGGTATTGATAACCTGAGCCAGCTTGCTTTCTCATTTGTTTGCCATGCTAGAGTGCAGCTTTAGTATACCAGGCCTTTCCCCCCTTGTTCAACACCTAACTCAGCGAGCCTGTATGACCCTTTGAAGCAAACTACCTGGTTTCTGATCATAGAATGGAAATTCACCAGAATCACATCTTCCCACCACATGCTGGATTAGACTCTGCAAATGGATATCAGTCCAGATCCTACCATAGTCAATATTCTTTATTCAAGTAGGTATTGTAGGAAGAAAAAGTAGGCCACTAGCCTAAGATTCTGCACTCTCATGGCAATGGTGTTCAAGAAGGTCAAATGTGCATTATAGCTACCAGGCATCAGATACTCATAAGACTTCCACTAAAGCATTCCATAGGGATGCTTGAAATAGGGATGTGAAAAATGTTTACAAATATTAACCATGTAACTGATGGAAATTCCATTGGTTACATAGTTAAATGGGCTCTGTGGGTTCTTGGCTGCTGCTGCTGCTGGCCCTGCGAGCTCCAGGCTGCCACCACCAGCCTCATAGACTCCTGGCTGCCACCGGCCCTGCAGGCTCTGGGCTGTCTCTGGGCTCTGGTCTGCTGCCACTGTTGGTCCTGGCCCCGTGGGCTCTGGGCTGCCACCTTTGCCACTGACCCTGCAGGCTTCAGGCTGCTGCTGCCACAGACTCCAAGCTGTGGGATCCCAGCCACCACCAGCCCCGCAGGCTTTGGGCTGCCCACCCACACTCCCGAGCAGAGTTTAAACAGTAATAGGAATTGCTAAGCATCGCTTATCAGTTAACTGTTTAAACTTTTATATCCCTAGCTCCGTGGTCTCCAACCTTTTTAATCACAAGATCACTTTTCAATGTAAGTGCAATGGAAGATCTACCTCAAACCCAAATACCCTTGCCCGGCTTCCTTCCTGCCCCTTTTTTTAGGTTCCGCCCCTTCTCCAAGGCCTCACCCTGCTCACTCCATCCCTCTTCCTTCCCTGAATCTCATTCACTTTCACCAGGCTGGGGTAGAGGGTTGGGGTGCAGGCTCTGGTTGGACCAAGGGTTTCGGAGTGTGGGAGAGGACACCCTGAAGGTAGGACAGTGTGATGGGTTCTGAAGTAGACTAGGGGATAAGGCATTTGCCTGGGGACCACAGGGTTGGGGGCTTGAGTCCCTCCACCCCCCCTGGGAGCAGCCGAACAGCCAACACAGGCTGCCCCAGGGATGGAGTTGGCTCCTGTATTAGGAAAACAGGATAAGGGATGTCCTGAAGGTAGGGCAGAGGGGTAAGATCTCCAGTGAACTTGAGGATAGGGCATCAGCCTCTGGAGCACAGGGTGGTGGGCTTGATCCCACCCCCTCCACCTGTCTTGGGAGCAACAGGATAGCCAACACAGGCTGTCCCATAGTAGGGAGGGAGCAGGTGCCCGTATTAGGAAGGCAGGATAAAGGACCCACTGAGGGTAAGGAGGTTTGGTGTGTTCTGGAGTGGACTGGGGGATTGGGCATTCACCTGGGGAATGCAGGGTGGTGGGCTTGAGTCCAGCCCACCCTGGGAGCAGCAGAGTTAGGCAGGCTTACTCCTGCCCTGGCCCTTCACTGCTCCCAGAAGCAGCTGGCATGTACAGCAGTGGCTCCATGTGCTGCCCCTCACCCACAGGCCCCTGACCCCACAGCCTCTGCCCACCAGGTCTCCATTATTGATCAATAGGAGCTGCAGGAGTGGTGTCTGCAGGCAAGGACAGCATGTGGAGACCCCCTGCTCTGACTCTCTCAGGGGCTGCAGGGACATGCTAGCCACCTCCAAGAGCACAATTACCACAGGGATAATTACTCCAGACATGACAGGTAAAGCATCTTACTACTCAAAGAATTGAATTTAAGCGTAAAAGAGAAATGAAAGTTATGAAATGCGCAGACCAGTCAAAAACTAAAAATAACCCACTTTGCAAGTAGTAACAACCCCTGATAGACTGTTGGGTCAGGAGATGAGAGGGAAGGACAGTTGGTATTTGTAAGAATGACTGACACACACACAGTGTGTGAGAGTGACAGAGATTTGCATTGCCAAGCTCCCTCCATCCCCTTCTCCGTGTGGAGACAGGGTACAGGAGTGGGGAGTGGGGGAGGAGGAGGAACATCCTGACATTAGCTCTCCTCTCTTCTCCCTCCCACACCCTGCACAGCAAGCAGGAGGCTCCTAAGGGGCAGCTCCAAGGCAGCAGGCAACTGAAGTGCCAGCACTTGATAGCTTCCCAGCCAAACCAGTCAGGATCATCTGTCAGAGGCTCAAAGATCTACTGGTAGATCCTGATCTACTGGTTGGTGACCACTGCCCCTAGCTCAAAGTAGGGGAAATGGGATTCTCAAGACCTTAGAGCAGAACATTTGCAATGGAACTGAGGCTATATTTAGTGAGATGGTCTTAGGAAAACCAGCTGGAATGCATGCCTCAGTTACACCTGTTGCTCTCCATTCACCCTACTGATAAATTAAACATACTGCACTGGTTCAGCAAGACATGAACTAGCTCAACCCAGGCAGTCAAAGCCATACACACAGAACTTGTAAAATGCCCGCTACAACTCATGTGTAAGGCCCCAAAGCATTGTATGAGTTTTATAAGCAATGATTTGTCCTAACACCTTTTTGTTTCTAATGTAGATCATTGTCTTGCTGACAACTATGATCTAACTAACTTTTGCACTCCATCATAGATAGAAAAAAAACATTTAGTGGCTTGAAAATAACATTCTTCTTCCTGCACTTCATCCTTTTCCCCATGGTAAGCAGCTGATTCCTTCCTGTGATTGTCTGAGTATAAACTATATTAACTGTGTACTTTCCTTTGTTGGTTGCACATCAGCATTCTTGATCATTTCAGGTCATCTGTGGCGATACAGTATGACAGTGCTCCCTCTGCTGGTCCCATTACAATAAAGTGCAAACAGTTAAAGGTTTTTAGGATTGACTGTTAAATAATTTATTTGGGGTAGCAATGCTGAAATATTTCAAAACTCTGGTTCATTTTCCATCATGTTTTAATAACGTTAAATCACATCCAATTATCTTTTTGTGTTGAAAAAAGGCTTTCCCTTTAAACATCCCAGTGGCAAGATTGAGCCTCTACTAGTCAGAACATGATACTCATGCTTTGCTGTATGTTAATTAAAATTACGGAGGCACCATCATACAAATGTGCTTCTAACTCTCTTTTGTTGTGCAGAAAACCTCACAGTGACCCAGTGCAATAGTCAGGCTGGTCCTCCAGATAAACAAGAGAGGTGGGAACTGCCTTCAGTTAATCTCAATGATGATCAAAGGTCAAGGAGAGAAATTTTAAATAGCAACAACATTAACTATTTCACTCTTAATCCCTTTAGTAGAAACATTCAGTTTCTGTATGACTGCAGGGAGCGCAGTGTCCTCTAGTCTGATGAAGGGAATTTATCTTTCACCTTTGTAACAAACTATATATTGCAACACGTAGTGTGCTATTTACCTTTGCCCTGATGCTTTGAAATCGGTACAGAATTTGAGGCTTTCCTCCACCTTAAGGCTATGTCTACACTGGCGGCTTCTTGCGCAAGAACATCTTCTGCAAGGGGTCTTGTGCAAGAAGTCTTGCACAAGAAAACATCCACACTGCCATGTGCGAGCTGTGCTTTTGCGCAAGAGCATCTATGGCAGTATGGATGCTCTCTTG